AATCTCAAACTCAACAGTAAAAAAACCCCCAACAATCCGACTGGAAAATAGGCAGAAGACCCGAACGATATTTCATCAAAGATGATGTACAGATGGCAAATCATCTCCTGAAAAAATGTCCGATATCATTACTCATTGGGGAAATCCAAATTAAAACCACAATATCACTGCACATCTGTCAGAGTAGCTAAAATAAAAAATCGTGACAACACCCAAATGCTGGTGAAGATGAAGAGAAACTGTATCCCTCACACATTGCTAGTGGGGATGCAAAGTGGTACAGCCTCGTAGAAAATTACTTCGGTAGTTTCTGATAAAACTAAACATGCAACTATTTACATAACCCAGCAATTGTCCTCTTGGGCATTTATCCCCGAGAAAGTAAAACTTACGTTCATACAAAACCTATATGGGAATATTCATAGCAGCTCTATGAGTTATAGCAAAAAATGAGAAACAGCCCTGTTCTCCTTCAGCAGATAAATGTAGTACATACAAACTATGGAATACTACTCAGCAATACAAAAGAATGAACTACTGATACACACAGTCAATTGGGTCAATCTCCAGGCCTTTAGGCTGAATGAAAAAAGTCAATCCCAAAAGATTGCATACCATATACATTACTACATTTTGAAATGACAAAAATTTTTAAATGGAGAACAGATCAGTGGTTGCCAGTGCTTAGGGACAGGGTGGGCAGTTGCAGGAGGGGGTTGTGTGTAGTTATAAAAGGGCAAAAAGGGCAAGAGACAGAAGCGTGTGGTTCTGGAACGTTCTGTCTCTGTTGTGGTGGTGGGTATGTGAACATACACGTATGATAAAATTCTATAGAAGTAAATACACACACAGGTGAGGACAAGTAAAACAGGAAATCTGGGTAAGATCGGTGGAGTGTCACTGTCAATGTCTTGGGTTTGGTATTGTGCTAGTTTTGCAAAATGTTATCATTGGGGGAAACTAGGTACAATTACACAAGAGGTTTCTCTGTATTATTTCTCACAACTGCATATGAATCTAATTATTGCAATAAAGATTTCTTTTTTATTTTAAAGATTTTATTTATTTATTTGAGATAGAGAGGGAGAGCATGACTGGGGGCAAGGGCAGAGGGAGAGGGAGAAGCAGACTCCCCGTGGGCAGGGAGCTCCATGCAGGGCTTGATCCCAGGACCCTGGGATCATGACCTGAGCTGAAGGCAGCCGCTTAACTGACTGAGCCACCCAGGCACCCCTATTGCAATAAAAATTACAATGAGGAAAATGATCAAAGATCACCCAACATTTAAGAAATTATCATAAAAAAAGGAGAAGGGAAAGGAAATTAGAGGCAACAAAGATAAAAAATAGCTGAAAGGAGAAAAAATTCAAACATTGCTAGTAATAATATCAGAAAGATGTTTACATAATAAAGGGATACACACTATAAAAAAGGAACTCCCAGAGACGCGGAGAAGAACTTTTGGAAATTGAAAAGTATAATGGCAACAATGTAACACTCAATAGAAGGGTTGGAAAACACATTTGAGGAAACCTCCCAGAAAGTAGAAGAAAAAAGGTGAAGACCATGAGACTGGGGAAGAGAATGAGAGAAGCTGCCCAGAGGTCCAATATCTAAATGACGGGAGCTGAAGAACAGAGGAAGGCTTGGAGAAGAGACAGTTGAAAGCCATATTTCGGGAAAGTTTCCCGAACTGACAGGGCTCACCGAGTCCCCCGCTCACTGGGTGAGAAAAAACCCACACCAAGGACATCGCTGTGAAGGCTCACAATGCTGGAGGTGGAACAGAGGCCCTGAAGGCTTCAGGGGCAAGAAGCAGACCGCCCACACAGCATCAGGGGTCAAGACAGGATCGGGCTTCTCAGCCGAAACACTGGCATCTAAAACCCTGAGGAAAGGGCGCCTGGGTGGCTCAGTCGGTTAAGCGTCTGCCTTCGGCTCAGGTCATGATCTCGGGGTCCTGGGTTCGAGCCCCGCATCAGACTCCCTGCTCCGTGGGAAGCCTGCTTCTCCCTCTCCCTCTGCCCCTCCCCCTTCTTGTGCTCTCTCGCTTGCTTGCTCTCTCTCTCAAAATAAATAAAATCTTAAAAATAAAATAAAATAAAATCCCGAGGGGAAAATGATTTCCAAGCTAGGGTTCTGTACCCAGGCAAACTCATCCCCGTGTGAGGGCAGAATAAAAATAGTCAAGATCTTCAGAATTTCATTCCCTGAAGTGATCCCGAAGAGAAGCTACATCTCAGGGTTAGGAAAAAAGTAGTCCACTAAGACATAAACCTTCTACAAGTTAGTTTTCTGCAGTAAACTTGAAGGGATACAGTCTTAGCAAAGTGTGACAGGGAACGTAGGTGCGCTACGGTCCGGGGGATGTTGTCAAGCCGAAGTGTCCTTACGGGAGATGGCATCACTTTTGTGCACACCAGGGTCATCTTGCCGCCCTGCTCTCGAGCGGTGATGATGATGATGAAGCCGTGTTAGGATGGTCACCAGCTCGCTGCTGCCTCCTGCATGAGTAGGGGAGGACCCATCACGTTGGGCCTGGCCACGGCTTTCCCTGTGCCCATCAGCCCCTCCTCAGGAAGCCCCTGGAGGATGTGCTTCACCAAATTGAGGGAGCAAACCCAGATAGAGGAAGATAGAGGATTCGGGGGAACGGGAGATCTGTCTAGGAATTGGCAAAGGGAATCCCCAGAAGGGTGGGAGATCCCACCATGACAGCCGGGGGAAATCGACCAGTCCAGGTGTGAGCGAGGGTTCTGGAGAGACAGTGCCAAGAGGGAGCCGATGGGGCACCTGCTGTGTGTGCACTTATGAGGAGAGTCACAGTTATGGCAGAGTTTGGGGACACAGAAGCGATAAGCACCTAGAAACTGAAGTAACCACATTTTAAAGAGACAAAAGTAAAAAGTTGTACAGGAAAGGAAATGGAATCATATTCTATGACATGGCTTCGTTGAGATCAGTGTTTACATAGTCATAATAATATATGCACTGAATGTTAATCTAACCCCAAATAATAATATAACTACGCTTGGAGAAAGGGGAATAGAAGCCGTGTGTGTGTGTGTGTGTGTGTGTGTGTGTGTTGGGAGTGTTGAAGATAGAAATCAATAAATGATACCTAACACTGAATCTATCAGGAAGTAGGAGTGGAGGCGAGATTTCATAGGCCTGAAAGTCAACGCCAAAAATACCAACTGAATTGGAACTGGTTGCCTATTCGAAGTGGGAAAAGAGGAGGTACAGGCCACTGCAACTTTTGTTTAAAAAAAAAAAAAAAAAAGGCCTTCCAGAAATATTTGACTTTTTCAACTATGTCTAAGAAAAATTTTAATTGTAAAAAATTGATATTTTCCCAGGGATTCTACACAACACAATGCTGGGTGGCATTGGGCTGGTGCTCACAGCACGTACTGGCCTTACCCTTCACCCAGGAGCCGCTGATGCTATGGAAGGGGGGCATTGTCTGGGGAAGAATCCGCTATGGAACCAGCCCAGAGACTTCGCCTTGCCAGGCTGGGAGCTTCCTATAGGATGCAGTATACACTCCAGGCCTGTGCCCAGGATGCAGGCATGTGCCACGGTTTCTCTCAGGAGGCCTGGGCCCCAGAACCAGGACTCAGGGTGGGAGAGGAACCCTTTGGGCCACCCAGTGCCTTTGGACCGCCTTTTTCTGATCGTGAGTGCTACCTGCCCGAAGTAGAAGACATGCTCGCCTTCCCAGCCTCCCTTGCAACTAGAGTGTAAGTATAGGAACTGTGCTCCAGAACATGAGGTGTTAACGAGCTGTTTGGTCCCAGAGAGCAAAACTGGGGGAGGTTGAGTGCTCCAGAGATGCCAGCCATGGTGTCCACCACCACCCCGCGGCCTCTTCCTCCCAGCCCAGCGTGACTCGTGCCTAAGCAGCACTCGAGTAGGCATTTGGAAACGTTATTAGAATGAGGCGGGGGGGTGGCGGGGGGGCTGAAGGAAGAGGCTGTGCAGAGAGGCGTCATGCCAGCAGATGGGTGGCAAGACGGGTGGAGAGCAGAAACACGGAAGCAGCCAGGCCCTCAGGCTCATTGGCGAGTGCCATTTTGAGGGTGACTGAAACTGAGTGAGCCTGTTCCTTTCAGTCAAAGAAGTAGGGCTGTGTGGAAAGGTGCAGGCTCCCAAATTCTGGGACCTGCCGTTTGGACCCCTGCCCTCGGAGAACAGGAATCTCAAGTCCTGGGACCAGCGCCCCCACACCCGTCTCCAGCCTCTGCTTGTCAGCGTGGCCTCACAGAGCGGGGGGCACCCACACCTCCTCTCTGGCTCAGGAATCCACCCAGCCCCTCCTGGTCAGACCCCTCCTCATATATCTTGGGCCAAGGGCCACAAACACAGGGGCCTTGTTCCCCACGTAGTCCTGGGGCCTAGAGTCCCACGTGGCACAGAGCCAGGGCTCCATACATCACCTGCACAACGAATTAATTCTCAGAGGTCCCCACGGAGAGTCGTCTGCTCCCTCCTTGGAGGCCACTAGCTGCCTTCCATCTGAGCGTTTGTCTTCCCAGGGCCCACGTCAGCATCTCTGATAGCTGGCTCCTTCAGACGGCCCTTGCCTGCCAAGTGCTGAGCACATGAGTGGGAGTGGCCCCGGCTGTCCCGGGGCTCCGGTGGCCACAGGCCTGGGCACTCGTGGAAAACTGTCCTGCAGGGGCCCTGGCCTCCTGCGGGCGCCGCCTTTGGGGATCTCTGCATCAGCAGCCCCAGGACATCTCCTCTTCCGATCCCCTTCCACATCCAGCTCAGGACCAAACACTGGTTTGGGGGACATGTCTCCGCTCTTGCCTCAGCTCCTGACTCTGGGTGGTCCTAAAGCCCAGGCCCCCTTACGGGAGAGAGATGTGGTCTGCAGCTGCTCGAGGGCACAGTGACCCATGCGGCCTACCGCTGAGCTGCTGGGCTCCCTTGTTCTGGTCTGGGTCTTTCCAGCCAGTGGTCAGGGCAGGCAACATGTAAAGAAGAGGCCGGGCCAAGGGACAGTTGTACTGACTTTATTCCCCTTCACTCTCGTCCTCACCCTCCTGCTATCCCCCCATGCACTTGGGGCCCAGACATCAAGGGTCCACACACCTGGCACAGCCATTCCGCTACTGTGGACCCCCCCAGTAAGGGGAGCTGTGGCCGCACATGCCAAGGTCGGAGGCTGAGGCTCTAGCCCCAGCTTATCTCTCGGCTCACCCCCAGCTGGCCCAAGACCAGGGAGCCCAGGAGAAGCTGGGGAGGGGGCAGGCCCAGGTTTCAGACCCGAGTTCTGGCCAAATGGGCTGAAAAGTCCACCTGGACTGAGGGGTTCCCCCCACCCAGCACATCTCCAGTGGGAGGTGGTGATCCCAACCCCCCTTCCCTGCCACCAGCCCTGGGAAGTGGGTATAATGCCCCAGTCCCCTTACTCCAATATCTAGGTGCTTGTTCATTTGTTTTAAAAATAAAAAGGAAATGTAAAAGCTGGTAAAACAAGAACCCCTACCCATACTGGCACTGCTGAGGTTCCATTATTGCTTCAGACCCTTGTGATCTGGCTGGAAAGGAGCTTTTACCCACACTGGCCCAAGGGGAAGAGAGCATTTAGCACCAGGGACCAGGGCTCCTGTCCCCACTGGGACAGGTGCCTCCCAGGAGAGGGTTTGGCTGTGCCCACCCACAGCTACAATGACCATCGTGACCAGAGCCCAGCCTGCCGTCTGGACCCCTGCCCTCCGAGGAGAGGTGTATTAGAACATGGAATCCAAGTCCTGGGACAGGGTTTTGACACCAGCTCCCCCCCCCCCATACCTTACAGGGACCTGGACTGGCCAGGGTCCCCCAGGCTCACTCACTAAGGCTGCAGGGGGACTAGCTGATGACAAGGCCACCAGTCCCCATGGGAGACCCTGGTGCCAGTGACAGGGGTTGGGGAACCCATGGGTGTCCCGACCTACAGCACATCGGGGGAGATCAACTTTTTTTGGGGAAAATGTGAGCCAGCTCTGAAGAGCTGCCAGGCACTGGGACCAGAGGTTAGAAATAGCAAGGAAGAGGAGGAAACAGAGGGGGGGGACCCTGAGGACGTCATGGAAGCCCAGAGATCAAGGGGTACAGGAGAGGGAGTATAGTAAAGCAGGAGTCTAGAATCCCCAGCCTTGGGGTAAGGGAGCTGCAGAACTGGGAGCCAGACAGGGAGCTTTCCTCTCTCAGTGAGGGGCCCACCTTCTCTCTCCAAAGGACAGCAGGGCCGTTCTGGAGGCTCTGACTCCGCATTACTCCTGCTGCAGCCCCAAATGCAACTAGGCCAGGGCACTGCCCCCCTCTGCGCCCAGACAATTATCAGGGCTGTGTAGCTTGGATTATAAATCCTCAAATCACTCGGGCTTCTTGGACCTGCCCACATCTGTACAGAATAAAGTGCTTCGTTTATTGATGATTAAAATGTCCCCAGCCCGCACCCAGCGCCATGGGCCTCCCAAGGAGGTCAGAGGGGTTCCGACCCCCTCAGCCCTTGGGCTGATGGGGCCCAGTCCCCCCACCCCATCCCCTGCCGCTGTCCCCCTTGGGCTTAGGCCTCTTCCCACTCCAACCATGCTTGGGAAGGTGATGGTGTGGGGGTAGTCGTGGGGGTTTAAGGTGCAGAGTATAACAAACAAAACTATAAACACAAAAGGAAAGAGCTTAACTAGGAAACACGTAGCTTATGGAACCTTCCTCCCCATTTTCAAGGCAGGAATAAAGACGTTAAATGACAACAAAAAAAGGATGTCCCTACTAGTGCCGGCCTCATGGGGGCAAGCATTGGGCACAGGCGGGGGCTCCCCCAGAGCCCCCACCCCCCACCCTGTGGGCTCCTCTCACCAACAATGCTACAGGCGCCCCACCCATGGTGCAGAGGCCTAGGAAGGACAGGGATGCTGGACGCTGGCCTGGGGTGGGTTGTGGCCAGGCCCAGGAAGAGGATGAGGCCTCTGCCTTCAGAGCAGGGATGGAGACAGACACACACACATCTCCGCTGGTGTGGGAGAGACGACCGGGGCAGCTGGTGAGGACCTGGGTGCTCTGGGAACAGCCGCCCTGCCCCCTGCTCCCCTGCTAGCACCTTGAAACCTTAAAACATTGCCTCCTTCTCAGGGCCTGCCCCTGGGGTTCACCCAGCTGCAGGGACTCTTTGCAGCCCTTGGGATCTGGTGCTGCGGGAGCCAGCCCGTCTGCCCACCCAGGGCCTAGCCCCCAGCCCTGAGGCTCAGAGGCTTCTGGGGATGTCTTCTCCTGGACTCAGGGACCTCGATGCAGCCTGGTACAGCTCAGGGATCCCTGTGCCTGCCGGCAGGGTGGTGGCTAAGAGGGCAAATGCCTGGGGTCCAGCCCCTGCCTCCCCCACTGCACACAGTGCAAAGCTGGGTCTGCAGCCTTCACACTTCGCCACTCCCCCCCACAACACGCTCATGGGCATCCACAGTGAAGCCCCTGCCTCGGTGTCCACAGCCCTCAGACGGATCCACAACTCCTTCCAGGGAGGCTGACACCCCAACTTTTCCCCAAAGCCTCCAGGATGAGGGGGCAAGTTAGGAGGCACAGGGGAGGCAGAGATGGGCCACTGAAGCTGACCCAGGCTTGCCTGGCCAGCCCCCTCCGGCTCAGGCCCCAGCAGAGTGACCGGTCACACCTGCTCCCCAGCCCCTCCCTCCCTGCTGTACCTGCCGCCTCCAGCAACCCCCTCACCTGGAGGGGGTGCTGCAAATAATTTCCTCTCTTTTCTTTTTCCTTCACTTCCAAAAAAAAAAAAAAAAAAGCAAAGGCTTCAAGGAGTCACTGAGAAGGGGGCACTTGGGAGTGAGGTGTCCTCCACCCGCACGGGGGCCACCAGCCCGCACACCCCCAGGGTCAGGGGCCTCAAGCAGCACAGGTCCGGCCCCGTCTGGAGGGGGGGGCGGCGGTGCCAGGCCGGTGTCGCTGCCCTCCCCCAGGCAGGAGGGGAGGGCCGGGGTGGGGGCCGGGGGTCCCCCGCAGAGGCAGTCAGTTGTTGGCGCTCATCCTCCCGCCGGAAGTGGCAGTGGTAGAGAAGAGTGGTGGGGGGGGCGGCAGGTGGGGTGGGGGCGGCAGGGTCTGGGGCAGCCCCGGGAGCAGGGGCAGCGCGTGAGCCGGGGGCTGGGCCGGGGACAGGCCTGGGCCCGAGGCGGGGCCGTCGCTGGCCAGGGGGTGACTGACGCGGAAGCATTTCTCCTTGTGGGCCTTGAGCATGTTGGAGAAGCGGAAGCGCTGGCCGCAGACGTCGCAGGGATACGGCTTCTCGCCCGTGTGTGTGCGCCGATGCCGCTTCATGTTGGGTCGGCTGGTGAAGCTCTTGCCGCAGATCTCACAGATGTACGGCTTCTCCCCTGGGCGTTGGCACGGGCAGGGGGGCGTCACCGAGAAGTCGGCGCACCCGGCACCCACGGGGCCTCCCTAACCCGGGGAGAGGCGCGGAGGATGGCGCTGAGCCCCAGAGAAGGCTGAACTGAGGCCCGGAGTGGAGAAGGGGCATGGCTGGGGCCATCACAGCAGGCCTCCGGGGCAGGGCCGAGGAGGGGTCCCCAGCCTGCACCACGGCCCCC